TATAGATTGTATTTCGGGTCCGAAGACAAGGACACTATAACCGCGAGTTCAATACAACTCCGTATAGATATGTCTAATCAAGTGATCGGTAATCAAATCCAGAGTTATTTGTCGGAAACGTATTTAAATTTTTTGAATAAATTGGGCAAAAAACACAACACAACTATGGATTCAATGAAACCGTTGATAAACAACGGACCGCCTGTTTATGGCACGAAAAACCCGTCGTTCAACTCGTTTGTATCTCCCGGTGCTCTCATTGTTGTCGCCTATTTCGCCACAACGACTGTCACCTGTCATCTGCTGATCAAAGAGCGCACCGACGGCTTAGTGGACAGGAATCTCGTGGCCGGAGTGAAGCCCTTGGAGTTTGTCTTATCGCACATTATTTTGCAACTATTTATGCTATCATTTCAAGTGGGACTCAAACTAGTGCTCGCGTTCGCCGTCTTCGCGGTGCCTAACATGGGATCAATTGTGTCGGCGTCGGCGCTCACATTCCTCCAGGGCTGCTGTGGACTCATGTTTGGTCTCATGATATCATCGCTGTGTCCGGACGAGATGTACGCAACCACTCTATGTATCGGCGCTTTCTTCCCGACGGTAATAATGGGCGGTATGTTCTGGCCGTTGGAGAGTATGCCAACAGGTTTGAGATATTTCAGCCAAATATTGCCCTCCAGTTTGGCCATTGAATCGCTTAGATCTATATTATTAAGGGGTTGGGGTCTCAGCCACTATCAGGTTGTGGTAGGATTTATGGTAACAATTCTGTGGCTATTATTCTTCGGGTTCAGTGCTTTGGCTTTTTTTGTTAAAAAATTATAAATACAATGACATTATGAACACAACATATATTTAAGTGTTTGTCATTTAAATAAAATTACAATAATATAGTGATTAAAATTGATTACAAAATTATAAATAAGAATATTCTGTAATTAATAAAATAATAAATATTAAACAATATCGGCGTTTAGCGTCTCGGCTATTGATTTCATTATATGACTCTGACTTAAATGCATTTTAGAAAATACATTGTCCGACAGTAATCTCCAGTTAAGCCTTTTGTCAACAAAACGTTTCTTAAGATATTCGCGACACTCGTAGTGAATGTGCCAAACCTTTGCCTCTTTCCACGCGTTGTCTGTATTCATATAGTCATCGATATATCCGTTTTGGATTAGTTTGAAGTGAAACCCATTTTCATCGGTCGCCGAACAGACACTCTTGAAAAAGTTGATCACTTCCGGCAAAACCCAACGCCTGGACTCAGAGTCCGCACGAAATAATTGTTGAATCTCTCCAAACAAGTCGTCTCCGCTCACAAAACGCTAAACAATTGGCCATTTTATCAATTAATAAAATCAAATTAAACGCTGTTTTTGTCACTTACTTCTGGTAAACAAATTTGATCCGAATTTGATAGCAAATTCTCAATAACTATCTCGAGATATCTGTGTCTCGGCTGAACGGTTGCCGAACTCTTCTGCCATCTCGTAATCACAAGAATAATGTAATGATTTGGTCCCCAACGGGGAAAACCTCCGCGTCCTCNCACATAAACGTCTTCGAAGGGAAGCGCCGGTAAGTATCGGGTGATTGCCGTTTCATACAATGCCAGACAGTAGTGGCCGGGTATGAGATATGGGCCACTGATGTAAGCGGGGTAATAGTTGTGCGAATAGTCCTTCAAACTTAATGACCATTTGTCTCGACCGCGTTTTACATAAGCTTTATGCCATTTGTAGCCAAATATAGCGTTCGCATCACTCGATCGGCAAAAGTCAAGCAAATTGTTTGGTATAACGAGTGAGTCGTCGTCAACTTTAAGCATGTATTTAACAAATGGACACTTCATTGCTGTCCATCTCAAGAGTGCCATCGCTTTGATCGTACAGTTATAGTAGTCGTCATAAAAACCAAATTGCAAAATATCATTAAATTCTTCATTTTCTTTGACCACTTTTGTCTGAACGCCGATATCTTTGGACAAACCAATTGTGAAGAATATTCTCGTCTTATTATTGGTCTTAAATTCTTGACCCCATGTCTGACGTATAGCCTGTCTTCTTTCAAAATCATTGACTCTATTAAATACCATAACAATGAGGAGCAGATCTCTGCCCATCTCTTCACTACACGACTCCTTATCGATAGTAATGTTTGTCATTTTAAACATCGCGTCCGCGTATACAAGACGTGAACCGATTTTGTTTGGTTTCAATTGTGATAAACTCTTGAGATGATTGTCTACACTTTGAAGTGTAGACACTGTGACTATATCTGTAACATTGATGTTGTCTGAGATGACACTCGAACCAAACTTTGGTTTAATTGCTTTAATTTGGATAACATTTAACCAATTATTTTGAGTAATAAACCCATAGATCACAAGTAAAGTTAAGATCAGTGTTAAGACAAAGAATTGTCTTTTTTGAGACATAACTAATTGATGTGTTAATAAATCCAAAGAATAATTCAAATTTAAAACAATTACATAAAACAATATAAATCGTGACAACAATAATGACGATTGTCATTAATTTATTAAATTACATGCGAGTTGACCATAAATGTACTGTAAAGTTAGGTATAATTTAAAGTATACTGTAGTAGTAATAAAATTAAAAACTAGTATTTACCAGAAAATGAAATCTATATTTATTACAAAACCAATGGTTGAATAGAGATGAATATTCTATTGAATTTATTGCGAAAAATATGTCATTTAAATGAAATCACAGAATATTTAATGAGAAATAAATTAGTCGAATAAAAATGTGACCAAATATGGGCTAAAATTAAAATATTTTAAATAAATAATTGTCTTAAAGAAGAGGACAGAATGGGAACCAATTGTGAAGTAAGTTGTCATATCGTATACGAAGACCATTGCTATCGTAATCAATCATATAAAAGGTGTGTTCAGTAGACTTAATAATATGAAGACTCTTTAATTTTGGACATTTTTGGATCATTTGCTTTAAATCGGATTTTTTAAAACTAAACTTTCCTGTGAATGAAATATCCAGCGATTCCAGTGCCGGCAGTCTTGCCATATATGCCAACCATTGGCTGTCAATCCTCGGGCGTTGTCCACAGATTTTCAGTGTCTGTAGTTTGTATTGTTTGAACACAATCTGTTCAATCATTTCTTGTAGAGCATTGAGACCATTAATTGTGTTTAAATAAATATATAAGTTTGTCAATTGTGGCCAAACATTCAATGCTTGCAATTGAGTCCAATCGGTGATCACTTCATTAGTATTGCCATCAAATGTGAGCCACAAGTGCAGGCGTTTTAATCGTCGCATGTATTGAATGGCATTTATTATCTTCACAATGAATACCGTGTCGTCTGAAGTAACATATATTGAAAACTTCTTGAGTTTTGTACACTTCATACCAATTGTCTTCAGACTATCATAGAGTGAATACTTAAGAGTTGTTTCGGTGTAAAAATCTAATTTTATTTCTCGGAGTTCCGGGAATTGAGTGAATTTTGTGATCAATTCAGTGACCATTGATTGCGAACCAATCGATGCGTCGATATTTTCGATAGCGAGACAACGAAGTCGTGTCTTATAGTAATCAATAAATATTTGAAATCTTTGGGCATTAAAATCATTGTCTCTCCAAATGATATGAATTGTTTTCATGCGATTGAAAGCTATTAATTGGTTGTTTTCTTCAGTGGTAAATATGGATTGCAAGCCAAGAGTCCATAACTGACATAAATTGGGACAATTGGACACATATGGCGATAGGTTCTCATTATAGCGCTTTAATTTAGTGATCATTGGACCAAATGTGGTGAACATATACTCAACAAACTGATGGTTTGACTCATTATTTGACTCGTAATAACTATAGCGGAAAAAGTCAATACTCTTGAGATACGGCCAACTGTTCCGCGAGTGATCGATGGCTTCAAACAGTGGTCTCCTAAACGTCTCGTCTCTAAAGCCATTTATTCTGCAAACATAATAAACTCTTTGAATGTTTGGACACTTCTTCTGCAGAAATGCAATCAATTTCTGACACAACTCTTCGCCCGAAAGACAATGATTTGCAGTTTCTTTGGCTTTGAATTTAACGATCATTTCTTCGTTGATATAAATATCATTAAATGTGTCAAACATTAAGCGCTGGAATCGTTTGGACACACATTCGTGAAGACAAGTGTCTCGAAAGGTTGGAATGAAAAATAATTTATATATTTCGCCGACTGAATGGTAAGACAATAAAAGTCGGACCAAATCATCACCGAATCGATCGAAAGAGTCTTTCAGGTAGTTTTCAGACTATATTTAATCCAAAATACAATTAAATAACTGTTTTAATCATACATTCAATTGATTACTGTTTTGTTAGTTTTGGGATTATTTGTGAATAAATCTCGAAACCGATCACAGAATCGATTCATTACTTAATGTCCAACACTTGCGATAAAATTGTTGAAAATTAATTAATTGAATCAAACGTTTAATTCAAATAATGTTAAATTTGATTTTTAAAAGTGTAAATTAACTGATCTGTAAATTATATTGGAATAACAATAATTACATAAAACTATCATATAAAGTGTGACAACAATCATGATGATTATTTACTTTATTTACACCAATTCTGGAAATAAAACCAATTTTGCAGTTTAGCACTTAACTCATGCGAGTATTGTTGACCAGTAACTTATATTTGACAAACATTTTATTAAAAAATAAAACTAAAATTTCTATAAATTACACCATTAGTCTAGATTTGTTTTATTGTAATCGTTAAAATGTAATTGTTTGCATCACAATATCGATATACAGTATACGGAAATTTGCAAACTTGTATTTTTAATTGAAATGATTTTAATTACTTTATTTATTTCATTATTTATTCACATGATTAGTGTTTATCTAATATATAATGTAGTTTGTGTTACATTTATTGGATCACAAAAGGTATACTTGACTTAATTATTAATTTCCCATAATATCTATCTTTCAATAACATATAATTTCACAAAAATTTGATTTAAATTTGATTGAATTGACGGTAAAAATGAAGTCAACGCAAAACGCTTTAGAAATACGTGACCTCTGTTTTAGTTATAAAAATGGGATTTTAATACTCAAAGGAATCGATGTTACGGTACCTAAAGGTTGGCATTATTTTTAAAAATATATAATTAATTGTTAAGAATTTGTATGAAATGGATTAATTGTAATATTATTTATCATATTTAATTAAATCTATTTAAATAGGAGGCATTTATGGCCTATTGGGATCTAGTGGGTGTGGGAAAACAACCTTGCTCAAGTGTGCTTTGGGCAGATTGGAGCCAAGCAAAGGGTCCATTCATTTGTTTGGTAGAAAACCGGGTTCACCCGAAAGCAAAGTTCCCGGTCCTGGAGTCGGGTATATGCCTCAGGAGTTGGCCCTCTATGAAGAGTTCACTATCGAAGAGATACTGACATATTTTGGCCAATTATTTGGTATTAAATCAAAAGTGATTGACTCGAGGATTGAGTTTTTGGTCGATTTGCTTCAATTGCCGGACAGAAGACGACTAATCACTAAATTAAGCGGTGGACAGAAGAGGAGAGTTTCAATCGCAACGGGTATTCAAATCAATGCCAATTGATTGGTCTCTAAACTAATTCAACATTTATTCAACAGCTCTTCTACACAATCCTCCACTTCTAATACTAGACGAGCCAACGGTTGGCGTGGATCTAATCCTTCGCGAAGCCATTTGGAAACACTTAGAGTTTTTATGCAAAAACGGATTGACAGTAATAGTGACCACACATTACATAGAAGAGGCCAGAAGTGCGTTAAGGGTTGGTT